ACCCCAAAACCCCATAAGATGAGATTATGTTTAAGTTTGAAATGGTAAATAAATTAATATTAGGATAAACGTATTAGCTTGTGCTTACTGTATGACTGCTTGTTGAATTTACATGCGACTATCTACAATTTCACTTCAGCTATTGTTTCAATGCTGCGCTAAAGCTTGCTAGAAACGGTATTTCTTACTTGCTGTGAATAAAATGCTATGTTGATAAATCATCTTCTTGAGCAATAAATATACAAGAGATATCGTTGATTGAGTTTTCAGTAAAGTCATTTATATGAGTTGACTGATCAAATAGTGGTCTGTACTTTGACAATCTCTTTTTATAAAGCATACTAGCATTATTGAAAGATTCGTCAGATGAGCTCTTGCATTTTAACATATTATATCTCTTGGTTGTTCATATTGCTGATTATTTAGCTGGCGATCTCCTTAATGGAGTATTGTCATTTATTATAACAGATTGATTGCAAATGTTAGATTTTTTTGACAGAATTTTTCCTAGTTTTAGTTGCATTTCATTGAGATCTTAGTCTAAGTCATTGATTGTCGACTTATGTCTGATTAATTGGAACTTATCATGTTTAGGCTAATTATTTATCTTATTTTTAATTGGGGAAAGTTGCTTTCTAGGAGAATATGGATATTAGCTCATTCTCTTAGAATAGGTTGCTGGGTTAATAAAAGATTTGCTTTTAGAATCATTCATTGGGATATTTGTATCTATTAAGGTTTCAATTGACTGCAGTTATTATTTCAAGTCCTTAAGGAAAGATTTATGATTGGCCGGCTTGGACTAAAGATTCGATTAGTCATTGCTGATATTTTAGTTTGAAGATATCATTGATTTTTAAAGATAACTATCATCTAGAAAAGACTATTCTTTGCTTGCTTCATTTTTATTAGAGGATATATTGCTGTCCTCTACAGATGCTTGGCAGAATCTATACTTTGAGTATTCTGGATTGTTGTTATTATTTCTCTAAGTAGATCTCTTAGTCTTAATCTAGTAGTTTTTACTTCTAATATATACAGTTTCAATTCTTTCTTTTAAATGAATCTTAGGGGATGTTGGGCTTGAATTGTTTTTGAGTTTTTCTCGGACATATTCTTCCAAATCAATTTTCATGCTACCCTCGTTCTTTTAGACCATATTTTTTGGGATTGCTGTTTGTGGTTCAAGATTTTCAGTCTGCTATTATGTAAATCTGAAGAAAGATTCACTTGGATACTCCTTCTAGTTGGTGTTGAGTCTGTGGTTGTTAGTTGATGAATCGTTAATTGTTACAGATGCAGTTGGTGAATTTACCTCAGTTATGTCCTCAATAATATTATTTTAGTTGATGTACCCTCCGTACTGTTACTATTGATTATAGTTTTTATCAGCACTAGATTAATTATTTAGCTTGTTCACAATGAGATCCAAGTTAACATTCCCTCTTAATTTAGTCCCAATCTTTCTAAGCTTATTAAAGCATTCTTTTCTCTGCAAGTATTATTCATTTTATTTATTCTTCCATGATGGATTCATCAATTATTACTTGATTTTTTCGAGATTAGAATCTGGCTTTAGTTACCGGAATCTTGATCTCTCATATTTTGTCCCGCGTCTCTGATAACGTCTATTTTTACCTGTTTCTGTAAGATCTATAGCATTTCTACTTTTAGAATCTCTTTACTGATGCATACTCTGTCTTTTAATTTCGCAAAGAGTAGGTAATCTCAAGAAATCATCCTCCTGAATTATGCTACATTTTCTTGAAGGGATCTCTTTGTTCTTAAACAGCTTCTTTTGCGATAAAAGAACTCTGCCACTATCACTTGTGAGAACATTTAAATGATCTAAAAAAATCTGGTCGTCAAATTCACTTCCATTCACATTTGCGTCTAGTGATGATCCACTATCTGACTTCAGTGAGTATACTGAAGGCTAACTATCAATTTAAGTGTTGGAGGGAATATCATCAATGGTATTCAAATCATCTCTTTATTAAATAGCCACAAATTAATTGCAATGTGGACCATTAATCAAATCAAAAGACTTTTTTTGCCCGGCAGAATTCTCGTCAATAAGAGATTGCACTCTAAACTGTTGAGTTAGAGATTTCTCTACATATTTATGTTCTATTTACTTTTAAATTTCCTTAGAGTCATCTTGGTTTTGATTTTCAAATATTTAATCTTGTTATACTTATTAAAATTCAGAAGCCTATTAGCAGTGCTATTCATTGATAGGATAAGAATCACTGCCTGAAAGCAAAGCTCGATCAATTTCATTTTAATCTGGTGCTAAGTACTCCCTAAACAAAAACGATGCTTAACGTTTCATGATGGTATAATTCTCCAAACTCTAATCGAAATTTGACGAGGCAAGTCTTCCTCGGTAATAAGTGGACTCCTGTATGATCTATTCTTAAGGTTTTCCGAAATCAAAATAACTCATATATTCTGGGAAATTTGGACCAGAACCTTGATGACTTTCAAGATAGGGGAGTGAGAAGGTAGCTATCTACACCTTCTCATCGAAATAAAATAATTCAAGCCTTAGTTTAGTCAGGTCGGTTAAGAATTTATTCCTTCTTTTAGACTGCTTAATCATAAATTGAGTGTGAGAGATTTTATTATAAAGTTTTATTCCTCAATATATATATTTATTATATTATGAATATTTTTCTCCTGTTGAAGTTTACCTTAATATTAAACTAGCGGGGTTTTGGGGTTTTGGGGTTTTGGGG